TGAGCAGTTAAACCAGGGAGGCTTATCTGGTGACAGTCCTTCTCCTGAGGTGACGTCATTGTTCACCCTGGCCCCTGCTGAAGGCTAGCGGAAGCGCTGTGTGCGTTCCCTGTGTCTGAGAGTGTTCCCTGTGGCTGAGAGGCCTCGCCAGCGCTCTGCCCTTGGCAACTAGACTCCATACAAGTCTTGTGGCATTTTCTTCCTTTCCTCAGGAGATGCTGGATGAGGTGGCTGGCCAACTGTGGTTTTAGTGAGACTGTTCATTCAGCCAGCACGCTCTGCCCTCCCCTGACCACACAGATCCCATGCGGTTTCCTCTGACTTCTTCAGTAGCTCACACCTTCACGGGGAAATGAGGTAGGGATTAGTAAAAGGAACAGAACTGAGATACCAGGAGGGGTTGACGCCTGTTCTTTCCAGTCCTTTCTCTTGCTCCTGTCAGCCCACTCCCGGCTCCTGGTCCCATTCCCACCCTACTGATTACTCCCTGATTTTCTATTTCACCATGCAAGATACAAAAGCGGTTTGTAGGTTTCAGGGAGGTGTTTAGTATCCAGTCATCAAGATGCCTGGGGCCAGATGTGCATCTGTTCAGATGGACTTTGTTTTATGCTTTTTTTAAAAAAAGAGAGAGAATCTGGGGCCTCACAGACCCCTGGGGATGGGGTGGGGGCCTGGGCCTTTAAGACGTCATCTCTTTCCTGCTGCTGCCTCCCACTGAGCTCCAGTTACCTGAGATGTTCAGAGAAAGCCAGGCTATCCATCCTGGGTCATTCATCCCAGTCCCTAACTGGATTTAGCCTCAGTAGATGCTTATCATCCAACCTGAATCCCCCACAGGGAGCTCTACACTCCCCTCTCTTGCTCAGCGGCAGAAGGAGAGCCAGAGAGTGAGGTCTGCCACCCTTCACTTTGTATTTGAAGATAGGTAATAACCCTGTGCGCAGCACCCTTCACACTTCTGTCAGATTTCTAGCTTCTCCCGCAGTAACAAGGTCCACTCCGTGGAGGCCTGCTGCTTGCTTCCCTTTCTGCGTGGGCGAGCCCTGGGCTTTGCTTGTTCTCATGTTGTGCAGGAGACAGACCCCACATCCCAAGCTGGAGGGCGAGGACTTTCTGGCGTGTGTGGCAGCTGTGTTGGAGGGGGCAGTCCTGCCTTGGCTCTTGGGAGTTGCCTGTCCTTGGCAACCCTGGGGCAGGTGGGATGGGCGGTCGTGGGGGACCTGCCCCTTGTAGCTCACACTCACTTGGATGTGCGCCCAGGAGAGATGTAGCTTCACGGTACATTCCCGTACCGTTCAGTCAGGCTCCCTCCCAAAGTCTGGCTGCAAACCAGACTGTAGTTAGTGGGTCTGCAGAAGTAATAGGTGCTGGGTGTCTTGTGTCTGCAGGAAAAAGGAGCCTGAACAGCTGAGCATAAACAACAGTTGCTTGGTAATATGAGCTCCTTTCATTTAAAGTCAGAGGCCTGGCTGCGGGTGGGGGAGGGGAGGCCAGGTTGTTCCAGCTTTCCACCTGTCTGGGAGGCCAGAGGTGAGGTCAGCTCCCCAGGGAACACAGGGTCTGCTGGGGCCAAATGTGGGACTGAGGTGGGGAGGGGGAGGCGGGGAGAGGAATGCAGGGACTGAGATTCTGAAGTACCCAGTGGAAACCCTAGTCCTGAACCCCTGCCACCAGCTGCTTTGGGAAATTGCTTTTTTTTTTTTTTTTTTTTTTAAAGATTTCCTGCTTCCATTTTCCCACTTGTAAAATGACTAATGGGATCGAATAGCTGCATATAGCTTCGTGATATCCCCAGCCGAGGTGAGGGCTGGTAGAATTCGGGTGCTTCCGGGGACCTGCTGTTTTCCTGAGCTGATACACCTGGTGAGATTCTGGGGGCCTCCAATGGGCCTCAGAAGACCTGGGTTCAAGTTCTGGTTTTGCCTTTCACTTTTTTTTTTTTTTTAAATCTATGACCTTGGATAAAGTTCTACCTCACCCTTGGGTCGCTGGGAAGATAAAATGTTATGTGTGAAAGTCCTTTACAAAAGTGTAAAGGTTACTATACAACAAAACCACGCAGGATACTAAAGAGAATCTAAGGGAGGAGAGACTTGGTTCTTCCCTCTACAGGCTTGTGGTCTCAATAGTAATGATGGCTCGCCGTCGAAGGGGCTTTCCTTTCTCAAAGCAGTCCCCCTTCATCATCTCACTCGATGGTGCCGTGGTAAAAAAAAAAAAAAAGAATAAATAAAAATAATAATAATAAAACAGAAACAGCTGCAGGAGGATGGGAGGGTGTATTTTGAACAGGGTTTAGTAGAAGGGGAGAAGGGACTGCCATGGAAGTAAGAAAGGATGGTGCTGGGGGCCTTGATGTCCTCTGGATATTTGCTTCTCAGCCAAGTGAAACCATTTCAGATTTCGTTTGGAGGAGGTTTTCCCTCAGGCCAGGTAAAATGTAAATGATCGTTCTCAACTACTGCAGTGCCCAAGGCGTAAATTAAATCTCCTAGGATTTTCGATTTTAGGTCCAGAATCCTATTGTGGGTGGGAAAAGCGGCTGCAGTTTGTCGGAAGAGGGAGCTTGGTGACTTTTATTCCTTTTATGACGCATCCTTTGAAATTCAGAGTGCTGGTGATCAACTTCAAGGGCCTGCTACCCTCCTGAATCTCTCTTTCCCCCACCCCAGTACCCATCAAGTGGGTTAGCCCTGTGTTGTGAATCCTCACGCTTCGTACTTCAGCAGGCCCCTCAAAAGGCAGGTTCCTTGCAATGGGAAGTTATCTGATCCCCTGCAAAGCCCTTGTCCTTGGAGGAAGTCCAAGGCAGTGAGCATCCTTGGGGGAAGTCCAAGGCAATGAGCAACTCTGGTGCCTTGACTTTACTCCGTATCCAGAAGTTTGGAGTTGCCTGTCCCAGGCCCTCCGCATTCCTGGGGCCGGAAGAACTGTTCTGCTCCTTGCCAGGCCTGACACCTGAAGGGGTTTCTCCTTTCTGTGTCATGTCTGGGAGTTAAAATAGAGTGATACCAAAACCACCTTTGAGCGAGCCAGTGGCCGGATGTGTAGAGTCAGAAATAAGACCAGCTGATGATTTGGGCAGTCATTTACAGGTGGGCCTGGCCTTGGCCTTTGGCCACACTATCTCTGTCCCAGTGCAAAACTGACTTCCCTCAGTTGCCTGGCCTCTTGGACATTGATACCTTGAGCTCCCCTCCATGGGTCATTCTGGGGCGTGATGGACCCATGGCCAGTTGTCATGCTTGATGTTTTGCTGACCTGTAGGGACAGATTTTCTTCCTGTGAGTTCTTGCAGCTTCGGGACACTGTGTCCTTCATCCTGGTAGGGAAGCTGGGGCATCAGCTCTTAACTTTGAATTGGACCCCTAGAGAGGGGCAGAGAAGAACAGGTGAGTTGGATTGTGGATTTAACGGTGCATTCTTCTGTGCTCCTCCTGGTCTGTTTGAAACCAGCTGTCCTTACTTTGTGGAGAAGCAAATAGTGGAGAGGCATTTGTGCTGGGCTGGAAGGGAGGAAAATGGAACGTTACAGCCTCTGCACTACAAGCTGGGCTGGTTTATGCTCAGTCCTGATAGCAGTTGCCTCACTGAAGTGGATCAGGTCTCCGGCCAGGCTCTTAGGGCTGTAGGTACGTGGGTCTAGGGAGGTAGTGGGTCAGCCTACCTTCAGACACTGCCAGGGCTGCTTCACTTTCTAGGTTCCACGACCTAGAAGATTTTTTTGGGACCCAGTCCATACCCCTTGCAGGTAGAAGCAGAATTGAATCGTCCCCCAGGAACGTAACTCCCAGGAAGGCTTTGCTGGATGCTTTGCCTTCTGGGGGCTCAACCCTCCAGTACCTTCATTTTGTGCTTTGGGATGGGGCTGTGGTATTGACCGGGTCGCTCAAGATGGAGAGGGATCAGTCCTTTTTCCTTACTGGTCCTGTGTGTCCTGTGTCTCTCGGGTCCTGTTGTCTGTCTTTCCTTGGTATGTCCTGTCCGCTGTCCTCAGCTGATTCCACAGGAGAACTGTTCTCTCTTCTCAACTTGTCATTTTGGAAGCAGCCTCCCGGAAGCTTGCTGTCATCCTCTGACTATGCCCAGCCTTTCTGCGCCCCTACCCGCACTCCCACATAATTTAAAGAAAGCACTTTTCTTAGAAAACATCCTGCTGAAAAGCCCCTAGTTTTCCCCCAACCCTGTCTTGGGTGGCCTCGGGGGATGAGAACTGAATTCCTGATTGCTCCGTTCTCCTTTCCCCCTCCCCTGCTGGCCCCGAAGAAAAAGCTGGGCATTAGACTAATGAGAGCTGCCTGGCCAATCGCTGCTTTGAGAAAGTTTGGTTTGTGATCCTGTTTCATTAGGCTGATTGGAGCAGCCTTTACTCGGAGGTAGAGTCCCTCCCCAAGGGATTTTGTCTACAGTTACCCTAGCTGTCGCTGCCTGTGCATGCCCTTTCTGGACAGAAATGACCTCCCCTCCCTTCCCTCTTAGTTTCCCCCTCCTCCTTTTCTTGTTTTCATCCAGTGTCTCGCTTCTTCTCTCTCTCTCTTTCTCTCCCCATCTCCCTCCTGCTCTCCGCCTGCCTACAGCGCCACGCCGGCTCCCCAGCCTGGTCGGCCGATCGCCAGCCGCTGAGAGTTTGCCGAGCCGCCCCCTGGGGCCCCGCGCCGCCGAGTCCCGCTAAGGCGAAGACGCAAGCAGGCCGGGGAGAGCGCGGAAGAAAAACAAGCGGGCGCGCCGCGGGAGCCCCAGGAGGGCGGCCGGGTGGCGGCGGGCGGCGGACGGGGCGGGCCGGCGCCGACAGCCTGGGGGAGCGCGCACCGGAAAGTTCGGCCCCGGCGGCGGCGCGCGCCTGCCTAGCGGCGCGCGGGGAGACGAACTTGCCCTCTCCGCGCGGCTCGAGCGGCGAGCGTTTCCCAACGAGAGCGGGCCGAGCGCGCCGCGGCCAGGGGTGGGGAGCGAGGCAGCTGGAGGAGGGCGCCGAGGGAGCACTGCCGCCACGGGCCCCCATGCCGGCGGCCAACATGCTGGAGAACCTGCAGCCGCCCGCCCTGCAGGTGCCCGAGCCCCAGGGCGCGCCCGAGGGCAGCCCGCTCTGGTCCAGCTCGTCTACCCCCACGCTCCGCCGCCGGCGCTTCAAGATGCGCCGCATGAAGAACGTGCAGGAGCAGAGCCTGGAGGCCGGGCTGAGCCGGGACCTGCCCGGCGTCCTGGCCCCGGGCAAGGAATTCCTGCAGCTGCCGTCCATCGAGATCACGCCCTCCAGCGACGAGGACACCCCCTGGTCCAACTGCTCCACACCCAGCGCTTCTCCGCGCCGAAAGCGCTTCCTCCTCCGCAAGTGGCTCAGGGTGAGGGAGCGAAAGGAGTGCAGTGAAAGCAGGTACGTCCCTGCGCCGCCCCCCTTTCTGCTTCCCCTTTCCCTCCCCGGGGGGGGGGGGGGCGTCCTGGCCGACACCTCGCGGAGGAAAGCGGGGAGGAGGGGCTGGCCAGAGTGGGCTTCGGGCACCGCTGCTCCCCGCTCGAGGGCCGGGAGTACTTCGGCTTGCACGCGTGTCGCCCCAAGCCGGGGCCTGGGGCCTGCGACTTCCTCCTGTGCCATACACCTGGGGGGGTGGGGGGGTTCCCGTCGCATTCCATCTCATTCCATCCTCATAGCAAAGTGAATGGTAAATCCATGGCAACTAATATCTATTGAGCCCTTATCACGTGCAGGTCACGACGGGGAGCACATTGTATCATGAAAACTCTGCCTTAGGTACTACTGTCATTACCATTTAAGACGTGGAGGTAACAGAAGGTGCGAGGTTAAGGGGCGCCTCCCCTTAGACTCCTATTGCTGAACTCCCATTTCAGTTTTTATGATGTATTTTGGCCACACCAGCTTGCCTGTCCCGGCCCACACGTGTAGCCGATGTGCTGGAGTTTTCATTTTCTGTTACAGAGAGTCTTCCGACCTGTAGAGCTGCTTCTGTGCTACTTTGGTTTGTGCCTGCTACTTTTTTGCCTGGGATAATGTGGCATCAGAGTAGTGGGAGAAGTTCGGTTTGTCCTGGGAGAAGTGGGAGAAGTTCGTGTAGAAAAACATAGGGCAGCTTGGTTGGACCTTGGCTAGGAGTGTGTTGGAGGCAAGCCCACGGCCTGGTTTGGGGGGGTAAGGGATCCTCACTGGCTCTTTGTAGCATGGACTCTGCCCATTTACTTCCAGACTCTAGGGTCCTGTCTCTAGGGTTGTCTCCTGTGGGGGAGCTGGAGGATTGGCCACCTTCCCCAGGACTCCTCCTCCCAGCCTGTTCAGTTTCACTCACTTCAATTCAGCAAGTATTTATTGAATGTTCTTCTGAACATGGTCTGGTACCAGCTGATGTCGATGGGATCCTGGAAGGAGAGATGGAAGGGAGAAAAGGGAATACTAGCTTTGAGAAGGAGAGTGGGCAGAGACTTGTATAAGTAATTAAGATTAAGACCTGTGAGTTTCACTCCTGTGGAGGAGGTAGAACCATTGGAAGACATAATGATTTCTGGAAGGGGGAGTCTCAAACTGTGGCAAACACAGATGGGTGGTAGAAAAACAGCAGGAAAAGTGTGAGGTCAGGGACATGAGATCAGGAAAGGAGAACAACATGGACAAAGGCAAAAAAAAGCAGGGTGGTGGCACCAGGCTGGCTCAGCTGGAAGAGTCTGCCACTCTTGATCTCTTCGGGTCATGGGATCGAGCACCATGTTGGGTGCAGAACTTGCAAAAAGTAAAATAATAGTAATAATAATAAAAAACATTAGAAGAAGAAAGAAGTAGGATGAGCCTTGTGTCTTTGAGGGACACTGAAGAATCAGTGGCGTTATGCCAAGCTTTCCAGGATCTCTTTTCTGGTGACTGAAAGTGGTTATCCTTGTAGAGCTTTTTGTGGATCTGAGGATAACAATTCTTTCTGTCTGGTATGTCATCATGCCGCCCTTTCAACAGAGTAGAGGGGAGGAGGCCAAGCTTGGAGGGAGCTAATCTTTTTTATATTTTTTCTTCTCCTCTTCCATTTTCTTCTTCTCCTTCTTTTTTTTTTAAGTAATCTATGCCCGGTGTGGGGCTTGAAGTCACAACCCCGCTCTACCAACCGAGCCAACCAGGAGCTAATCTTGAATGAAAATAGTTCATCACAGTTTGTCAGCTTTCCCCTCGGATGTGAGAGACCCTAATAGAGACCCCGTTTTGATTTTGGGATTTGCCACACCTCTTGAGGACACAATAAGGGGGAAAGAGGCTTGCATTGCTGGCCAGGGTGAGGATGGAAGTGGATTTGGTTGGAATTAAGGAAGGCTTTCTTGGTTTTAGAGTTGTCTAAGAGAGTTGTCTAAGGGTGCCGTGGAATCTTCAGTATTCCTAAAATCAGGAATTATTTTCACCTTTTAGGTGTAGATGAAGGCAGGTCTTTTAAGTAACGGCCTGCCGGATTAAAAGAACATGCGTGAATGTGTAGAATAAAGGCAAACTCTGGATTCGAACCCAAATCGGTCGGACTCAGATCTCTACTCTTAACCACTGTACACTGCCTCGTGTTGGCATCTCTCTGGATCTTGGTAAACACAAAACCCCATCATGTGTAGGTCTTAAAAATGGAAGGCTTCTTGGAGAGAAAAGAAGCAATCAAATGAGTAGAAACTTGTAGATAGATGCCCAGCAAGATTCCCGGAGAAAAGGAGCTGGCGTTTGAGGGCGGTAGAGCAGAAAGAATATTGGACTGGAAGCCAGAGGATTTCAGGGTTTTGTTTGTTTGTTTGTTTGTTTTAATTTTTTTATTTTTAAAGATTTTATCTATTTATTTGAGAGAGAGCATGAGTGGGGGAGGTAGTCTGGGAGAGGGAGAAGCAGGCTCTGCGCTGAGCGGGGAGCCTGATGCAGAGCCCAATCCCAGGACCCTGGGATCATGACCTGAACTGAAGGTAAACCTTTAACTAACTGAGCCACCCAGGCATCTTCGGGGGATTTCAGTTTAAATTCCAGTTCTGTGGGACCTCGGATACCCCACTTCATTCACCGCTCTGTGCGTCTCCCCTTCTCCATCCATGGAAGGGGAGACGCGTCTCTGGAGTCATACGCGTGAAAACGTTTTCCACATGTGAAAATGCCGCGTCACGGTGAAGGATTATTGTCTGTGAGTGTTTTGTGGATTATTCTGTGAGTGCTTGGATTTGCTTGAGGATATAAGCTTCCACACTCAAGTGTCCCGGAGCAGCACCTGGGACCCCTCATCTGTTCCAGGATTGGAAAATTGCTCTGCTCTGGCCTGGTTCAGCCAGGGGGGATTAGCATACCAGGCCCAGCGTGACATCCTCTTCCCATTCTCCCTCCAGAATCTACCTCTCCTTGGGCCAGAATAGCACCTTGCAGGCTGCCCTGAAGTCTGATGCAGCAGAAGGCAAGGGGCTGTGGGTTTTAACTGCACAAGTTAAACAGAGAAAGAGGAAGAGGATTGGGGGACCCCCCCCCCCCCCCCGCCTTTGTTCCCCTCTCCTTTAACCTTAGGAAGAAAGAAGTGGAGAAGATGATAAAGTCAGTGTGGTTTGGGGAGCCCAGGTCCTTGGGGTACAGTAGTGCAGTAACCCACGCCCAGTTTGGTCTGGTTCATCTTCGTTTCCTCAATGTCTAGCACTGCACTTGGGCTTTTATGGTGATCAATACATGTTTGTTGGCGAATAAATTAAAAAGAAGAGAAAGAAGGGTTCTTTTTTTTCTCTACTGTTCGGAAGGGAATGATCTTTATTCATAAGTTAGGGAGAATTTCCTGGAAGAGATGGGTTCAGAGCTGAGTTTTTTTTTTCCCCGTGACAGCTTTATTGAGATCTAATTTATATACCGTACCATTCCCTCATTTTTAAAGTCTACAGCTCAGTGGTTTTTAGCATATTCCCAATATGCACAACCCTCAGCACAGTCCATTTTAGAGCATTGTCTGACCCCAGAAGGAAACCCGTGCCCTTTATATATATCACCCTCAGTGTTCCTATCCCTCTTCTCCGGCCCGAGGCAGCCATGCATCTACTTACTGTGGAGAGCAGAGGGTTTGCTTTGCTTTGTTTTGTTTTAAAGGTTTATGTATTCATTTGAGAGAGAGAAAGAGCATGGGGTTGGGCAGAGGGAGACAGAGACAGAGAATCCCATGTAGACTTCCCACTGAGCACGGAGGAGCCCAAAGCAGGGCTCAATCCCAGGACACTGAGACCATGACCCGAGCCTAAATCAGGGGTCGGCCATTCAACCGACTGAGCCACCCAGGCACCCTGAGAGCAGGGTTTGGAACGGAGACCAGGTTCTTGGTGGTGGAACAGTTTGGGGGGATTGGCTTGAAGACGGGAATGGATGACCACGAGTCGCCTCAATGAGGGATGTGGAAAATAGGGAGGTGAACGGATGGGCTGATTTCTGATTTCTGTTGAAGAGTTGGAACTTCACTTTATCAGTCAACAAAGATGCACTGAGATTCCCCAAGACAGTGTGCTCTGTATATAGAGGGGACTCAGGTCACTGGGGAGCTGCTATAGGTTCTAGAACCTGGGAGAGACGTGCAGAGTGGTATTTGAGGCAGCTAATTCTCGAGCCTTCCACTGTTCTTCCTGTGGTTGGTCTGGGAATTGGTGTCTTAACCATCATTTAACGTAAGATGGCACTTTTCTTTTTCCTGCTGGCCATGTTGCCCTCTGAGTTCCCTAAAAAGCAGAGTCTGAAGTTGATGGGTCAAGCTTTTGGAATTAGTACCTGCACGTCTCCCTAAATTCCTTGGCCAAAACTGGTTATGGTGATTGTTCAGAACTCTCTGACCTGCCAGAATCTGGTGAAAAGTCAGAAATTGGACGGCACCACGTTTGGCGGGATGGCATCCTGTCCTCGTTCCTTGGAGGGAGAGCGGAAAGCTGACGGGCCCAGTGAGCAGATGTGGATGGCTCCCTGTAGGCTCTCTTTCCAGGGGACATAGCGCGTCTCTGCTTCTCTACCCTCCAGGAATCCCCGGGATTGTCGTTAATTGCACCACCATGACCCCCTGGCGGTTCTGTCCCCTCGTCTGTGTGATATCCTCAAGCTGCTTAGAGTCCTATCGGTTTGGAGTCTCGGGGTTTCTGCTCTGCGACCCACATCTGACCTCAGGCCTCTCACTGATTCTGCCCAGCCTGGTTGGGCCAGGCTCTCCAGCTGGGAGTGCCAGCGGGTTGGCAGGTTACAGTATCAGTGGTGCATTTGTCTTGATTCTTCAGCCTTTGGAGAGAGTCTCATTTCCGGATTCGGCTCCATTTCCAAGGGAGCAGGGTGAGCTGTGCCTCCAGACGCCCCGTGCATCACCTCTGTGCACACCCTGCCATGTATGAGAGGCACAGGGAGGCTGGGAGAGAGAAATG